GTCACCTCGATTGGTGATGAAACGTTTGCAATCAAATTGCCCAGCTCAGCGAACAAGCCAACGACCACCATCTACGATACCTGAGCTACCAACATTTTCCTCTATAGAAAAGTGTCTACTAAATTTCTACCATTAGTGACCCATCTGACCAACGCCTTAGTGTTACCGCATAGCGATCCAACACCGGTGCTTTTTGGAATATACTGTTCAACCTCGCTTCAGTTGTCGATGGGTTCATTTTGATCCACATTTATGTACGAATCTAATGATAACCTACTGAGAGGGGTTTCTTCGCTGACACGTTTCTGCTGAACCAGCTACAAGGTATATTCTAATTTATTGTTGGAAAGGTTTTGTAAAACATAAAACTTTTAGGAAATCAATGTGTGGACAGCCATGAAAATTTTGCTCCTACGAGCGGGTGTGTCTCGTGTTTGCTAACAAACCGCTCGCTGCAGGTCAGTCAGAGCCAGCTTCTGTAGAGTATAGAATAGTTGCGGGTACATTTTGCTTAGCCTTCCTATCCATTTGTTTGAATCTCATCCACCTTACTTGTTGCTTGCCCACTTTCAATTCCATGTTCACTAACGAATAATGACCAGAAAAGTATAGTGGACTGCAGAAGACACTTGGACTATCTAGGCATCCAGATCGTAAATGAATTCGAATACTTGCATACTTACAAGTGAACGACCACCGCCCTTAAATCAGCTCTTTAAGTTTCGTGAGTCGGTGGAGATGAACAGGAAAGTAGTATTAGCGAATATACACTCATTTGCAAACTAATTTGGTTTTTCGAGAGACTCACCTGGAACCCGGCTGAATCTCTCGTTTGTGATGATCTAACGAAAAACCAAATTAGTTTGCAAATGAGTCTATATTCGCTAATTTCAAGTAGAACATAAGAATGACCGAAACCCGGGGACTGCGCCCACTGATGAGACCCAAAAAGGGCAAAACCGGTCGTGGGATGTCGACGAATTTTCAGCAACCTTGTGAGTAGTAGATTACAAGGGAAAGTAGTATTACTTTACTGATAGAAGGGTTAGAGAATGTGTTGCTACGTGGCCCTGTGAAAGAGAGACCGAACGGAATCCTGTTTCGTTTCAAGGAAGATTCGCAAAACACTGGCATGCTTGTTGATAGGAGCTACTGCTATACAAGGGAATCAGTTGGAAATTCACTGGCTGATCGATAACAATAAAAAACCTGTTTGCGAGTTCCCTTTCTGTATTTTCAGTTTTCGCCTTTTGATGGCAGACCGGCCTATTTCCATACAAATCACCACGCCTGTTTAGCAGATTGCTTGATTCCCAAGAAGTATTGACGGTGAAAGAGCTGTTTTGCAGTTGTCAAAGAAAATAGTTTCTCCTTCTGGCCGTAGTTCAGGGAATTGAAGTAACTTGGTGAGACATCTAACACAAAACCGTTCATATTTTCAGTCCTCTCGTCAGGTCAGTATAGATCTTAGGGTTAAACTAACAGTTACGGCAGAAAACAACGGGGGGAAACACAGATACTTCTCTCGGAACTATATCAACAGTATTCAGCTCTAATGCAGTCTGCTGAGGATGTGAGTTACAAACGTCCGACGG